TATCTATCTATCTATCTATCTATCTATCTATCTATCTATCTATCTATCTATCTATCTATCTATCTATCTTTTTATTTATTTCCCTCCTGAACTGTTACAGTTTACCATGAAAAAGGGCCCCTTCTCCAAAGCTTCCCCATCCCTGACAGAACGTACCGGGGGGGTTCTTGGGGCCTGGGGCTTTGTGGGGGCTGTTGTTAGTTAATTAATTAATTAATTAATTATTTTATCTGTTTATCTATCTATCTATCTATCTTTTTATTTATTTCCCTCCTGAAGTGTTACAGTTTAGCATGAAAATGGGGCCCCTTTCCCAAAGCTTCCCCCCATCCCTGGTTTATTTATCTGGCTGTTTAGTTATTTATCTGTCTGGATATTGATTTATCTATCTGGTTATTTATCTATCTGTCTATCCGTTTATTTATTTATTTATTTATTTATCTGGTTATTTATCTATTCATCTGGTTATTTATCTGTTATTTATTTATTTATCTGGTTATTTATTCATTTATTTATCTGGTTATCGATTTACTTATCTGTCTGGTTATTGATTTATCTATCAGTCTATCTGGTTATTGATCTATCTGGTTGTTTATTTATCTATCTAACTGGTTGTTTATCTATCTAACTGGTAATTTATCTGTTTATCTATTCATTTATTTATTTTCCTGGGAATTGTTATGGATCAGCGTGAAAACCTTCCCCTTTTCCCAACGTTTCCCCCCAGTCCCTGGAATTGTCCAGAGTCAGGTTGGGGCAGAAGCTGCTCAGAGTGAAGGTGTCCCTTTAATGCCCCTTCCCACCCAAAGCATTCCGTGATTTCCTGACGTGGGAGGCAAACTGAGGGAAATTTCTCCTGAGATAATTTCTCCTGTTCCCACTTTCCCTAAATTCCTCATCCTGTTTTTTTTTTTTCCTGGCTTGTCTCCAGGCTCAGGGATGTGGGGGAATGATCTGCCCAGGGCAGTGAGGGGCTGCTGGAGGCTTTTCCTCTCCCCTGGGATCAACCCCCTGCCCTGCTTTTCTGTGCCAGCCCAGAGCTGGTTTTACTGGGTTCTGCTGTGTTTTCCTACTGGTTTAAGGTGCTCCAGGTTCCAGCTGGGTTTTGGTGGCCCCTGTGAGCCCATCTGAGTGCCAGGACAGGGGGGAAGGGCTTCAAAGTGACAGAAAGTCAGTTCAGATGAAAGATTAGGAAGGAATTTGTCCCTGGGAGGGTGGGGAGGCCCTGGCACAGGTTGCCCAGGGAAGCTCTGGCTGCCCCTGGATCCCTGGGAGTGTCCAAGGCCGGGTTGGAGCAGCCTGGGCTAGTGGAAGGTGGCAGGGGATGGCCTGGGGTGAGCTGCTGAGGTTCCTCCAGACCCAAACCATCCCACGATCCTGTGAAAAAGGGGCACTGCTGCCGTGTTCCTCAGCCCTGGGGAGGCACAGCTGGAGTGTGGGGCCAGTTCCCCTCAGGACAGGAGGGCCATGGAGCTCCTGGAGCGGGTCCAGGGCAGGTTGTGAGGATGCTGAAGGGGCTGGAGCATCTCTGTGACCAGGGGACACCCAGAGGGGACCTCCCCAGGGCGTGTCAGTGCCTGCAGGGGATGGACCAGGCTCTGCTCGGGGCTGCCCAAAAACAGGACACAAAACTGATGCCCACAAGTTCCACCTGGGCACGAGGAAGAAGAACTTCCCTGGGCAGTGCCCCAGCGCTGAACAGGCTGCCCAGTGTCCCTCCCTGCAGATATTCCAGAGCCACCTGGACACATCCCACGTGCTCTGGGATGATCCTGAGCAGGGAGGTGGGACCGGGTGACCCCCTGAGGTCCCTCCCGACCTGCCCCATCCTGGGATTCCCAGGGAATTGTTGCCTCCATCTCTCCTGCTCCTGCAGGGAGCTCCTGGTCTGAGGGAGAGCTGAGTTGGGGCTGGAGGAGGGGGTGGAAGGAGATGATTCCCAGTTTTCCAGGGCTGTGTAACATTGTGGGCCTGCACAGAGCAGGAGGGGAAGGGTTTCCCTGGCCCACAACCCCCTGGCTGTGCCTGCCCCCTGAGCTGGTGGCTGCTGTGGCAGCTGCATTTGCACAACAACCACGTTTTGAACGAACCATCAGGTTTTTGCAGCTGCCTCAGGTGACAGGAGGGGGTTTGAGAAAGCTGCTGGTGGGGGCAGTGAGGCTGAACCAGCAGGAACCACCAGGGGATCTCTTTGTCTGGGACTGTTCCCAGCAGGATGGAGCTGCTGCTGCTGTTTAGTCCACCTGGGTCACTGCCACGGGCTGCTTGTGCCAGGTTTAATGTATTTATGTATTTGAAGTATTTAAACTCTTGCTGGATTTGATGTATTTGGGCCGTGATAAAGTTTTGTGTCTCAACTTTGCTCCGGGACATCTGACCACGGCCTGGTGTGTGCTGTTCCCAGGGAAGATCCCCAAGCTGTTCACAGAGGTGGAAGTGAGTTCCCAGAGGGATCCACATCCCACTGAAACCCCCGAGTCTCCTGGGAGGAGCTCCCTGCAGGGGGCTGGAAGAAATCCTGCCACGACGAAGCCGCCGAAGAACACCAGGGCTGGTGAGTGGCTTTTCATCCCACTGGGCAGGGAACAGCCTCTGGAACTGTGAACACCCTGGTGGGGGCTGTTTAGGGGCAGCATTTTTTTGGCTCTGTGATTCAGTAAACTACAGGTGTCCAAGTGGAACTTGCTGGAGTTGATATCAGCAATTTTTGGTCCCTGAAAACGCTGCTTTTCCTTCAGAGAAAGTCAGGATTCTTGCTTCCATGAGCCAGCAAAGCAGTGCCTGTTGGAAAACACTTTAAATCCTGGAAGCTGCCTCCCGTTCTTGCCGTGTGGTGCCTGGGGTTTGCAGCTTTTTCTCTGGAAAAGGTGCACAGAGGCTGCTGAGGCCGTTCTGTAAAACCAGCCTTGAGGAGGTGGCAGCCACGTGTCCTTGACGTGGCTCAGCCAGCGTTTGAATCCATCATTCCAAAGGCTTCCTGGCTCTTGTGGCTCTCTCCATCTTTCCATCTGGGTGGCCTCCCATCAGCAGGGGGAAGTTTTGCTGCCTCAGGAGCTGCAGGATCCTGGTTTGGGTTGGTTTTTAAACATCCTCTGGGAGGTGCTGAGGGCAGGTGAGGGTTTAGATCCCATCTGTGCTCGCTTTCAGAGGAGCAGGACGGGGAGGACCCGGAGAGGAGGAAGAGGAGGAGGAAGGCAACCAAGAGGAAAAGGGAAGGGAAGAGCCAGGAGGAGGAGGGGCCCCTGTCCTGTGACATCAAGCTGGACGACACCCTGGACCGCACCTTGGAGGACGGAGCCAAACAGCACAACCTGACCGTGGTCAACGTGAGGAACATCCTGCACGTGAGTCCGGGGGGATTCCAGGGGCTGGGGAGAATCATGGGATCATGGAATCAGCTGGGTGGGAAGGGACCTCCGAGATCATCAACCCTTGATCCACTACCACCACAGTTCCCAGCCCGTGGCACTGATGCCACATCCAGTCTCACCTTAAAAACCTGCAGGGATGGAGAATCCACCACTTCCCTGGGCAGCCCATTCCAGTGGCTGATCACTCTCTCTGGAAAGAATTCCTTCCTAATGTCCAACCTAAACCTCCCCTGACACAGCTGGAGACCCTCCTGTCCTGCTGCTGGTTCCTGGGAGCAGAGCCCGACCCCCCCTCCTGTCAGGGAGTTGTGCAGAGTGGGGAGGTCTCCCCTGAGCCTCCTCCTCTCCAGGCTGAGCCCCCCAGCTCCCTCAGCCTCTCCTCACGGGAATTGTGCTCCAGCCCCTTCCCCAGCTTTGCTGCTCTTCCCTGGCCCTGCTCCAGCCCCTCCGTGTCCTTCCTGAGCTGAGGGCCCAGAGCTGGACACGGCACTCGAGGGGAGGCCTCCCAGGGGCACAATCCCTGATCCTGATCCCAAGCCAGGATCCATCGGCCCTCTTGGCCCCCTGGGCACACTCTGGCTCCTGTTCAGCTTCCTGCCCATCACAAATCCCACCTCCCTCAGCCTCTCCTCACGGGAATTGTGCTCCAGACCCTTCCCCGGCCTCTCTGCTCTTCCCTGGCCCTGCTCCAGCCCCTCCATGTCCTTCCTGAGCTGAGGGCCCAGAGCTGGACACGGCACTCGAGGGGAGGCCTCCCAGGGGCACAGTCCC